CCGGCCAGCGCCCCGTCGCCCCCTGACACCCTCCGGTTCCTCTCAGGCGTGAGCCCAACGGGTGTCCGCACCGCAACTGTTCCGTGCTTACCCGGCCTAAGGAGGCAGGGGACGAGGACCGGGCCGCAGCCCCGCGCCGCGCCTACGCGCTGCCTCTCCCGCAGGCGCCGCGGCCGCCACAGAGAGCAGCTGCAAGCCATCGGAGGCAGCGCGGAGGAGGCCCCCGCGGCGGCCAGGCAGGAACCGACCTCTGTCCACCTGAGTCGCGGCTGCTCTCGCTCGCCCGGGGCCGCCCGCCTCCCCAGTGCTGAGCGAGGAATGAGCAGGCGCCTGTCCTGGGCTTTCGGGCCGAGGGCCGAGACTCGGCTTCTTCCCACGCCTCAGGGGTGCGGAGGCTTGGCCACTGCGGTGGAGCACGGCGGGGTCAGCGGCGGCCTCGCTTGGGGAGCGGGAGCTGGGGTTAACTAAAGCGGCGGCGGGGAGGAGGAGGAGGAGGAGCCGGGAGGGGGCGTCCGCCGCGCCTCCCCTCCCCCCGCACACGCCGGGGCTTCTCAGTGGCCGCTGGAGGAGGAAGTTCCGCTCCCTGACAGACCCGTGTGGTAGCAACAGCGGCGGCGGCGGCCGGGGCGACTTGGAGGGCTCGGGGATTTTGGACGCGGCTGCCCTGCGCGCCAGCCGTCGAGTGGGCAGCCTCGGACCTCTGGCCGGCCTCCGGAGCCTGCAGGCAGCGTCTGGCAGCGCGGGCGGCCGAGAACTCCTTCCTGCTGCTTCACTCAGCGCTGCTGCTTTGGATTCCCGGCCAGGTGGGAGACCTTCCTCATTTGCAGACTTCCGAGGAGACCCTTATTTTTTCCAAGGTTAAGAGATTCTGGAATAGAAGCGTCAGAGGAGATTAAGTGAACCTTCTACAACTCCTCGGACCTCGCCAAGCTCCCTTTGGGGCGCGAGACCACATTTGAGCATCTCACTGGGGCGCAGAAATGCAAGAACCCACTTTGTCCCTTCTCCGCAGTGTGGCTTGCCTGATGTACCCCTAGGAATGAAGAGGAGACTTGTCATAACCCGATGAGGTACTGAAAGCCAAATGGCAAAGAAGATATCACAGGACATAAGCTAGTGATCGATTGGGGGTGGGCAGACACGTTTCTGAATGTAATTGGTCGAGCGTGAAAGAGATGTCCTCTTAAAAAGCACAACAATCCTTTAAGAGGAGAAAGATTGAGTTTTCCCGTTTTTGCCAAGATTTTGAAGACCGTTCAATGTGTTGTACATTTTATATAAGATGGGAACTTTGTGAAGTATTCTGTCCAAGAGTGTAAACGATGACTACCCCAGCTCTGCTGCCCCTGTCTGGACGTAGGATACCACCTCTGAACCTGGGGCCGCCCTCCTTCCCACATCACAGGGCTACCTTGAGACTGTCTGAGAAGTTTATCCTTCTCCTTATTCTTAGTGCCTTCATCACCCTGTGTTTTGGGGCGTTCTTCTTCCTTCCAGACTCTTCAAAACACAAACGCTTTGATCTGGGTTTAGAAGATGTGTTAATTCCTCATGTAGATGCCGGCAAAGGGGCTAAAAACCCTGGAGTCTTCCTGATCCATGGACCTGATGAACACAGACACAGGTTCGTTTATTTTAGAAGTTCTGGTATTAACAATTAGTAGAGCAAGGTACGGTTGTGGCATCAAATCTGTTATTTTTTTGCAGTAGTCGTAAGAATTGTATTGTTAGTTCAAAACTGGCCCTGGAGTCCCACCTAAAGTTCAGCTCCTTCGTTTTATATGGGAGAAACATTTGTGTTCAGAGTTGCTGTGTCTAATGTGGACAATTGGGAATGGAGGTATGAAAACTTAACCTAAAGAAATAGTGACATGTGCTGCTCCTGCATTTATTAAGAATGTGTTGCATTCAGTCATTGTACCACCCTGTGAAATCAATATATTGAATCTTGACAGCTCCTGTGGGTTTGCTCTCCCAAAGGCCCTCATTATCTGGCTTGTAGTTAAAGCTTAGTAGTGAGTCTTAGCTTTTTAGGATGACAAACACGGGCAGAATATACCTGTCATTTCTTAACATGTGTAAGTGTCCTGATTTTTGTTATTTTCAGGGGATGTGTGTGTTGGTGCTCTATATGGAATCAGTTAAAGGTGTCTCCAATCCTAAGTCATTTCACCTTGTGAGTTGTAAATGAAGACTTATTTTTTTAAAATTTAATTTTGTTCTCTTTCTTTTTTTTTTTTTTAAATGAAAATGGGATGATATATGTGATGTCTTATGACGTGCTTTTAAAAAATGTAAAACATTTTAATTGCAATGGTGGCACATCCTATTTTGAAAATTTGTATATTACCTAAGTATATAAAGTTAAGTCTTCAGAGAAAGAGCTTGTGTTTCCAGGCTTTTTGCAATGCAGATATAAACACACGGATAAAAACAGAAATATGCACTTAAAAATCAAAATGAAATTTTAATATACATTTTTTCCTAGAAGTTACTTTTTATTTGTAGCTATCTTGTTTTGGATATTTTCCACATCAACAAATTACATGTACATCGTTGTAGATGCATAAATGCATCGGATTAAGGGGCTCACATTCTTTCACATCACCAAATTTGCAATGAAGTCTTGGGAGAGTATAATCAAATTAAAATAAAGTGGGAGGTCCCTATTTCTTAAAATAGGGAAATATGTGGGGAAAAAATCATGCTTGAATTCAGTTTTCTACGAATGCTTGTTTTAACTTTTTATCAAGCGTGAGATTTTTGAAAAAGCTTAGGTTCAAATGTGAGCCTAAGTTAAAATACTTGGGAAACTGCACTGCTGTAATGAGAACTGGTTTTTTATTCTTCCCAGTGTAGTTAATTCATTACTTGCTTAATTGTTCTTTGACTTTTGGCTGAACCTTATGGAGTAGTTACTTCTAATATTGTTTCATACCATTCTTCTGTAACTGATTTGGAATTTCTGCCATTATAAACTTCTGTATTCTTTTAGATTTGTTTCTTTAATTTTGCCCTTCGTATTTTGTGACTTCGATAAAAATCTGATATGAGCTGTGAAATATGTTACTGAAATATTAACAATGATATTACTGTTTTCCTTGGAAACCTTATTTCTCATGGTATTTGTATAAACTATGATGAATATTTGAAAAAAAATGTGTAAAGACTGGCTACAGAGCTCCTTGATTGCAGCCAGCTGTTAACATTGTTTAACTCTGTTATTATAATAATCTGTCATATATGAAACAGTTTATATTTTGTGTAGCATAAAAGTTTAAAAAAATATGGCCACATTCTAGTTTAAAAACATTTACATAGAAAAATTCTTAATTAAGTGGAGTTAAACTATAAAATTTGAATGAAGATACAGATATGTGCATTTTATTCACATTTTAAAAAGTCTACTTAAATTGTTTAAACATAACTTTATATAGCCTGTGATTATACATGCATGTATGTTCTTGCTATCCAAAACTACTGGGTTCCTGAAATTGGAGAGCAAGGGGTGGTGAGTGAGCCAGATCCTGAGTTTTGGATAGTAAGAGTCCAGTTAGCAAGTGATACTTGTGGTAATTTATTGGAATATATTTGGTTCCTGAGTTTTGAAAAGCGAGAATTCAAATGGTGAGTTCAGGTGTCAAGGGATGTGTGTATTATCTCTATGTATATTTCTGTGGTTATATCAGTTTTTTAAAATATTTTGCTTAGTATGTTATTTGTTGTTGCTTACTGTATCTGAAAACAGATATAGTAAACATGTAGTAAGATATACTGTAGTCTGTAGTGATGAGTTCTTTTATTTAAGCAAGGAAATACATTTTAAATTAAGTTTAAAATGTAGAAACACAAAACATCAAATTAATGTATAAGCATTAGCTTATTTAAAAATAATTAAGAAAGATAGCATTTTTACAGAATTAGTTGGTACTAAGATGATACCTATTTTGCGTAGGTCAAAAGAAGTCTTAATTTAGAAAATATGAATTTACAATTTATCTTAATTTTGTGTGTGTGGAAAGGTACAGGATAGAGAGATGAGGAATTTTACTTTAACTGATAATTAATGAAAAAGAGATCATGGCCATTATTTCTTATTCACAGTACATGTGAGATACTTGTTGGTTTGGCATTTCTTTATTAATGGATTACTTTAATATAGTAGTTTGGCATTTGTATTAGTAAGGGTTCTCCAGAGAAACAGAACCAATAGGAGATATATATATATATATATATATATATATAGACATATGACAGGGGATTTATTAGGGGAATTGCCTCGTGATTAATGAAGACTGAGTATTCCCACGGTAAGCCATCTGCAAACTAAATGCTGATAGTGTGGTTCAGTCCAAGTCTGAAAGCCTCAGAACCCGGGAAGCTGAGTACAAGGCCTGAGAGCCCAGAGATGACACTGGTGTAAGTCCTGGAGCCCAAAGGCTGAAGAGCCTGGAGTTCTGATGTCCATAGACAGTAGAGAAGAGTGTGTCCCAGCTCTAGCAGATAGAGAGGGATTCACCTTTTCCTTGTTTTTGTTCTCTCTGGGCCCCCAGCAGATTGGATTGTGCTTACCATATTGAAGACAGATCTTTCCCTCCTAGTCCACTCAGGCTCACATGCCAATCTCCTCTGGAAACACCCTCACAGACACACCCCAAAATAATGCTTTACCGGATTTCTAGGTATTCCTTAGTGTGGTCAAGTTGACACCTAAAATTAACCATCACCATGTTTTTTTTTTTTATTGAAACCTAACTGATTATACATATTTGTTTTGTTTGTTTATTTGTTTTCCTTGGTTGTTCTCTAACTTGCATTTTCTTTTTTAAAAAATTTTAATTGAATCATTATTGATTATACATATTTGTTTTGTTTGTTTATTTGTTTTCCTTGGTTGTTCTCTAACTTGCATTTTCTTTTTTAAAAAATTTTAATTGAATCATTATTGATTATACATATTTTGGGNGCCTGCAGGCAGCGTCTGGCAGCGCGGGCGGCCGAGAACTCCTTCCTGCTGCTTCACCCAGCGCTGCTGCTTTGGATTCCCGGCCAGGTGGGAGACCTTCCTCATTTGCAGACTTCCGAGGAGACCCTTATTTTTTCCAAGGTTAAGAGATTCTGGAATAGAAGCGTCAGAGGAGATTAAGTGAACCTTCTACAACTCCTCGGACCTCGCCAAGCTCCCTTTGGGGCGCGAGACCACATTTGAGCATCTCACTGGGGCGCAGAAATGCAAGAACCCACTTTGTCCCTTCTCCGCAGTGTGGCTTGCCTGATGTACCCCTAGGAATGAAGAGGAGACTTGTCATAACCCGATGAGGTACTGAAAGCCAAATGGCAAAGAAGATATCACAGGACATAAGCTAGTGATCGATTGGGGGTGGGCAGACACGTTTCTGAATGTAATTGGTCGAGCGTGAAAGAGATGTCCTCTTAAAAAGCACAACAATCCTTTAAGAGGAGAAAGATTGAGTTTTCCCGTTTTTGCCAAGATTTTGAAGACCGTTCAATGTGTTGTACATTTTATATAAGATGGGAACTTTGTGAAGTATTCTGTCCAAGAGTGTAAACGATGACTACCCCAGCTCTGCTGCCCCTGTCTGGACGTAGGATACCACCTCTGAACCTGGGGCCGCCCTCCTTCCCACATCACAGGGCTACCTTGAGACTGTCTGAGAAGTTTATCCTTCTCCTTATTCTTAGTGCCTTCATCACCCTGTGTTTTGGGGCGTTCTTCTTCCTTCCAGACTCTTCAAAACACAAACGCTTTGATCTGGGTTTAGAAGATGTGTTAATTCCTCATGTAGATGCCGGCAAAGGGGCTAAAAACCCTGGAGTCTTCCTGATCCATGGACCTGATGAACACAGACACAGGTTCGTTTATTTTAGAAGTTCTGGTATTAACAATTAGTAGAGCAAGGTACGGTTGTGGCATCAAATCTGTTATTTTTTTGCAGTAGTCGTAAGAATTGTATTGTTAGTTCAAAACTGGCCCTGGAGTCCCACCTAAAGTTCAGCTCCTTCGTTTTATATGGGAGAAACATTTGTGTTCAGAGTTGCTGTGTCTAATGTGGACAATTGGGAATGGAGGTATGAAAACTTAACCTAAAGAAATAGTGACATGTGCTGCTCCTGCATTTATTAAGAATGTGTTGCATTCAGTCATTGTACCACCCTGTGAAATCAATATATTGAATCTTGACAGCTCCTGTGGGTTTGCTCTCCCAAAGGCCCTCATTATCTGGCTTGTAGTTAAAGCTTAGTAGTGAGTCTTAGCTTTTTAGGATGACAAACACGGGCAGAATATACCTGTCATTTCTTAACATGTGTAAGTGTCCTGATTTTTGTTATTTTCAGGGGATGTGTGTGTTGGTGCTCTATATGGAATCAGTTAAAGGTGTCTCCAATCCTAAGTCATTTCACCTTGTGAGTTGTAAATGAAGACTTATTTTTTTAAAATTTAATTTTGTTCTCTTTCTTTTTTTTTTTTTTAAATGTAAAAGATGGACTGTGTCAAGCAACTATTAGAATTTGGTTGATTAAGGGGCTCACATTCTTTCACATCACCAAATTTGCAATGAAGTCTTGGGAGAGTATAATCAAATTAAAATAAAGTGGGAGGTCCCTATTTCTTAAAATAGGGAAATATGTGGGGAAAAAATCATGCTTGAATTCAGTTTTCTACGAATGCTTGTTTTAACTTTTTATCAAGCGTGAGATTTTTGAAAAAGCTTAGGTTCAAATGTGAGCCTAAGTTAAAATACTTGGGAAACTGCACTGCTGTAATGAGAACTGGTTTTTTATTCTTCCCAGTGTAGTTAATTCATTACTTGCTTAATTGTTCTTTGACTTTTGGCTGAACCTTATGGAGTAGTTACTTCTAATATTGTTTCATACCATTCTTCTGTAACTGATTTGGAATTTCTGCCATTATAAACTTCTGTATTCTTTTAGATTTGTTTCTTTAATTTTGCCCTTCGTATTTTGTGACTTCGATAAAAATCTGATATGAGCTGTGAAATATGTTACTGAAATATTAACAATGATATTACTGTTTTCCTTGGAAACCTTATTTCTCATGGTATTTGTATAAACTATGATGAATATTTGAAAAAAAATGTGTAAAGACTGGCTACAGAGCTCCTTGATTGCAGCCAGCTGTTAACATTGTTTAACTCTGTTATTATAATAATCTGTCATATATGAAACAGTTTATATTTTGTGTAGCATAAAAGTTTAAAAAAATATGGCCACATTCTAGTTTAAAAACATTTACATAGAAAAATTCTTAATTAAGTGGAGTTAAACTATAAAATTTGAATGAAGATACAGATATGTGCATTTTATTCACATTTTAAAAAGTCTACTTAAATTGTTTAAACATAACTTTATATAGCCTGTGATTATACATGCATGTATGTTCTTGCTATCCAAAACTACTGGGTTCCTGAAATTGGAGAGCAAGGGGTGGTGAGTGAGCCAGATCCTGAGTTTTGGATAGTAAGAGTCCAGTTAGCAAGTGATACTTGTGGTAATTTATTGGAATATATTTGGTTCCTGAGTTTTGAAAAGCGAGAATTCAAATGGTGAGTTCAGGTGTCAAGGGATGTGTGTATTATCTCTATGTATATTTCTGTGGTTATATCAGTTTTTTAAAATATTTTGCTTAGTATGTTATTTGTTGTTGCTTACTGTATCTGAAAACAGATATAGTAAACATGTAGTAAGATATACTGTAGTCTGTAGTGATGAGTTCTTTTATTTAAGCAAGGAAATACATTTTAAATTAAGTTTAAAATGTAGAAACACAAAACATCAAATTAATGTATAAGCATTAGCTTATTTAAAAATAATTAAGAAAGATAGCATTTTTACAGAATTAGTTGGTACTAAGATGATACCTATTTTGCGTAGGTCAAAAGAAGTCTTAATTTAGAAAATATGAATTTACAATTTATCTTAATTTTGTGTGTGTGGAAAGGTACAGGATAGAGAGATGAGGAATTTTACTTTAACTGATAATTAATGAAAAAGAGATCATGGCCATTATTTCTTATTCACAGTACATGTGAGATACTTGTTGGTTTGGCATTTCTTTATTAATGGATTACTTTAATATAGTAGTTTGGCATTTGTATTAGTAAGGGTTCTCCAGAGAAACAGAACCAATAGGAGATATATATATATATATATATAGACATATGAGAGGGGATTTATTAGGGGAATTGCCTCGTGATTAATGAAGACTGAGTATTCCCACGGTAAGCCATCTGCAAACTAAATGCTGATAGTGTGGTTCAGTCCAAGTCTGAAAGCCTCAGAACCCGGGAAGCTGAGTACAAGGCCTGAGAGCCCAGAGATGACACTGGTGTAAGTCCTGGAGCCCAAAGGCTGAAGAGCCTGGAGTTCTGATGTCCATAGACAGTAGAGAAGAGTGTGTCCCAGCTCTAGCAGATAGAGAGGGATTCACCTTTTCCTTGTTTTTGTTCTCTCTGGGCCCCCAGCAGATTGGATTGTGCTTACCATATTGAAGACAGATCTTTCCCTCCTAGTCCACTCAGGCTCACATGCCAATCTCCTCTGGAAACACCCTCACAGACACACCCCAAAATAATGCTTTACCGGATTTCTAGGTATTCCTTAGTGTGGTCAAGTTGACACCTAAAATTAACCATCACCATGTTTTTTTTTTTTATTGAAACCTAACTGATTATACATATTTGTTTTGTTTGTTTATTTGTTTTCCTTGGTTGTTCTCTAACTTGCATTTTCTTTTTTAAAAAATTTTAATTGAATCATTATTGATTATACATATTTTGGGGGTTCAACATTGACATATGTTGGTCAAATCAATATTACTAGCATATGTATTTTTACAAATCATACTTATTTTTTATGCCCTTTGTTCAGTTTCTTCCTATCCCCCTCTTCCTCCTTCCTCTGGTAACCCTAGATTTCTTCTCTCTTTCTGAAAGACTAATGGTTACTCTGTTGATTTGTTGCCTAGATGATCTATCCAATGTTAAGAGGTGTGTTCAGGTCCCCAAATATTATCATAGAGCAGATGTTTCTTCTGTCACTCTGGAATGGGCTTTGTGGAGAGAGACATCTTCTTTTCTTTGGTCTCTGCTGGTGAATCTCCTTGTGTCAATGCACTCCAGTGGCTGGCAGACCATCTGCGTCGTGATTGTGGTGTCTAGCCGCTTTTGCAGCAGCCATGATTGTTGTGGTGGCTGTGGTGGGCCACCCACATGGAGGTGATGTTTTTAGCATGCTCCTTGGTACTGGTGATGTGCCTGGTTGTGGGGAGGGTCTGGTCCCTGACTCCATGCCTCAGGACCTGGGTGGGCCCCGAGGTGCTGGCGGTGGGCCTGGTTGTGGGAGGGGGTCCAGTACACAGATCCATGCCTCAGGTCCCCCAGTGGGTCCCAAGGTGCTGGCAGTGTGCCTGGACCAGAACTAATTTGTTGTCCTTTGCTTACTTCTAAAAAGGAGGAACTTCCTGTGGGGACCAGTTCTTGAGCTGTGTGGTTTAGCTAAATTCCTGCTTTGAGCTGACTTTCTAGGGAAGGCTTTTTGTGCAGCTCAGGTTTTTATGGTTGACCTTATAGGTACTTCCAGTTCTCCAGAGACCTGGTACACCTGGGTTGCGTAGAAACTCTGATCTGGGCCTGAGTCTTTTCATAAAACTGCACCCCATGTAATTATGTATTCCTGACCAGTCTCCTCTGAGTGGTCCTTTGCTGATTTGGGTGGTGGTCAGCTGTCCTTGCCATGCCCCAGTGTTCTGCCAGTGGGCCTGTCTCCTCCACTGCCCATGCTGCAAACACTTCCCATAGGACAGGCTGTGCACTTGTCCCTTGCGATGACTCACTGGCCTCTGAGTGGCTCCCTTTTTTCAGTTGTTGTGGCTCCTTGCTCCTATGTGGGTCCACAGGAACCCTATTAGTGGTCTTGCTGGCCCGGGGGCCACCAAGGCCCTCTTCTCCGCTGCTGCCTCTATGCAACGTCATCCAAAGGGCACAGCTGTGGCTTTTGCCAGCTCCTGCTCTGTGTGCTCAGTAGCTCTAGCCTTAAAGCAGCCACGGCATGAAGTGGGCAGAGCGGTTTTTTCTTTCTCTCATCATGGCTTCTCCCACCTTCATGCACTCCATACGTCTCTCCTCCTCTTCCCCTAAGCTGTAGTGGCCCCAGCTTGACTGTTGTTGCTTTTTTATAGTTTTAAATGGTTGATTTGTGGGAGAGAGTGATGCCGGGGACTGTCTATTCTGCCATCTTGAGCTGATTATACATATTTGTGGGGTACAGTGTTGAATATCAATACCTGTGTGATGATCATTGGGATGATTAACTTATTCATTGTTACAAAACATAATCATTCTTCGTGCCCATTAACCAATTTCCCTCCCCCTCCCCCTTTCCCACCTCTTGTAACCACAGTTCTATTCTTTCCTTCTGAAAGTTCAATGTATTATTGTGATTTTTCTCTCTCTCCCGTTTTTTTTTTTCTTTCTCTCTTTCTCTCTTCCTCCCCTCTTTTCCCCTCCCTGTATCTCTCTCCCTTCCCCTTCCTTTCCTCCCACTTATGAGTGAGGACATGCGGTATTTCTCTTTCTGTGCTTGGCTTATTTCACTTAATTTTCTCTAAGTTTATCCATGGTGCTGCAAATGGCAGAATTTCATTCTTTTTTATGGCTGAGTAGTATTTCGTTGTGTATATTTACCACATTTTCCTTATCCAATTGTCCATTGATGGATCTTTCTTTTGGTTCCATATGTTGGCTGTTGTAAATAGAGCTGCAGTAAACACAGGAGTGCAGGTATATCTTCGATGTAATGATTTCCATTCCTTTGGGTATATACCAAGCAGTGGG